TTCACCCTAAGTGTACCCCTAGTTACATGAAGTGTGACACCTCACACCTCAGAAGTATGACACGTCATACTTCGGGATATGTGGTACAAGGTACCAAGGTCGCCCAAAGCCAGCCATTGGCTGATAACGTTGCTTTTTTATAGGTGACTTATAGTTTGTATTTAGCCCAAGCTTTATCTACCTATAATAAACTCAGCTTACATTCTACCTTAAATAGGTCACTTCGCTCCCTTTCGACAAAAGGGGACCTGTGAACTGCCGTTCACTGAGAGTGTGTATACTCTCGGAAGATAACTTCCTCTAGCGCAAGGTGCTGTGTGACCCCGTCACACTTGGTAGCACTTGTAGTCAATCCACGCCACCGCGGGTAGACTACCTGGACCTCTCCGAAGTTCGTTGCCATGGATAGGAGCGACTTCTCCCATATGAACGACTCTCAGTTCGAGTCGGTTCGGAAGATGGCAAGCATCTTCGGGATGGAGGTCCTGCAGAGCCTGGTGGTGTCAACACCGTACGAGCAGGGCCTCATCGCGCATGTGCGGGATAGCCTGCAGGCTCCGGCGGCGGAAGCCAATCCGTCTCACCCGAAGCCAATACGGCTAGAGTTTAAGCCGTATGAAGGGAAGGAAGGCGAGAACCTCACTTTTGGGTCCGAGAAGTAGAGCTCGCGATGGACGCGGCTCTGATCTCGACCGAGCAACTGCGTGTTGCTTTTGCACTCTCCAACCTTAGCGGTCGTGCTAAGAGTTGGGTGTACACTCGGAAAGCAACATCCCCTGGATGTGTCACATCCTGGGCTCAGCTGTGCGAACAGCTCCGAGCCGCGTTCCTCCCGGCGAACTACGAGTACCGCCAGCGTTCGCGCTTCCTCGCGTGTAAACAAGGAAGGCGCGAACTGCACGAGTATGTGCAAGAGATACGGGAGCTCACGGCGTCCCTAGTGGGAAACCCACTCACGAACACATCAAGATGACTGTGTTCATGCACGGCCTTCGAGTGGGCCCCGCACGCACTCAGCTGTTCCGGGTGCAGTCAAGCACCCTTAAAGAGGCGATTCAAGTGGCTCTTCAGGAGGAGTACAGCCATCGCCAGGCGCGTACGCCGGCCTCAGCGTGGCCTGGGAGTTCCTTGTCGGCTCCCGGTCGAACAAGCCCCAACGGAGCATCACCGGTTCCAACTGGGCTTGAGCAAGCTACTGCAGTGAAGCTACTTAAGTAATCACAGCATGCGTGTACGTTAACTCCATACCTCTGATAGTGACCGGAGAAGAACGATCTGACTCTTGTGACTTCTATCTTTTTCGGCACCCGAATTGGACACAGCCATCCGTCAATAGCCCCAATACAGCCTTTCATCACTTTGGAGCTGCTGAGTGCCTTAAACTCCCTTGCAGCATCACGTTGAGCGGCCTCTGTTGTAGGAAATTGTAGCTGCAAATCTGGATGCGTGGTAATCGCTTCCACTACCTCGTGAATACAGTCTTAAAATGCCATGACACTAACCCCACTTATTGAGCGAATATCATGATAAGATCCTCCACTTAGCCAGCGTAACATCATGTGTAGCTTGTTGATATTTCTTATTGGCTCAATACCAGTTCGGTTCCGTGTCTGGCGTTCGTCAACACGCAGGTACGGCTTGCGTTTGTTGGCAAGGGCCATGAAGGACGCTCTTGACATCTTGTAGCACTTCTGGAATTCTCCTTCCTCCTCTACACCTTTGTCCGTCCAAACAGAGAATAATTTTAAGCGAAGTGGACAATTTGGTTTTTGTAGTACCAATTTTAACTTTAGCAAAAGTAAGCAACAACCAAACAGAGAAAGATCTCATCCAAAGCGAGACAAGGAAAGGCGATGACTCGAATCATTCGTGAAGAGGTGGTGAGGGTGCGTTGGCACCAAAATGCGCGCGAAAGCCTCGCCTGAAGCAAACCATCGCCTGAAGCAGCTCACGTTTCAAATCACCTCTTCAGACGAATGCCCTTCCAACCACTCCTCCGCAAGCACTCCCCCGCTGAGAAGCTCCGTGTCCTAGCTGCACATCGCGCGGGACGCGCTGACTGGCTTCAGGTGGCCGCCAATAACGGCATATCGCGCGCGGTGGCATACCACACTGTATCCCCAGGACGCGTAGAAGGCATATCGCGCGCGGTGGCATACCACACTATATCCACTGGACGCGTAGAAGACCTACCGCGCGGTGGAGCTCGTGGTAGCACTGTGAAGAAGACACCAAAAGCAAAGTCCAAGCTGGAGGAATATCTTGACGACAATTGCATCTTCACCCTGGAAGCTATGCGCACGATGCTCTTTTTAGATACGAAAGTGCGGGTCTCCACCTCAACGATCAGCCGCCACTTGCTTGGCATGCCGCTCACCGTCAAACAAACACGCATAGAGCCCATGTCATGCAACAACGAGATCAACAAGACCAAGCGGCAGAAGTTCGCAAAATCGCTGAAGGACCATCAAAAGAACGGTGACTGTATAATCTATTTTGATGAGACTAACTTCAACGTTTACTGTACGCGAGGTCGAGGACGTGCACGGAGAGGTGAGCGTGCAACGCTCGTGATGCCGCCGTCCAAGGGTGCAAACCTGCAAGTCCAGTGCGCTGTAAGCTCGGCCATCGGTGTGGTTCTCTACCGCCTAGAGAGGGGAAGCATCCGAATGAAGCAGAATGCCGCTTTCATTGAGGAAATCTACCGGACGGTTAAGGCATCCTCCGTGTTTCATGACAGCTTCGCTGGAAAGAAGGTCGTTATTGTCCTGGAGAATGCCCCCGCTCACCGCCAAACCGAAGAGCGCGTCGAAGCACGTGACGACCTCGTAGTCCTACGACTCGGACCCTACTCACCGATGTGCAACCCAATTGAGGGTTGCTTCTCCGTTTTAAAAGCTCGAATCAAGGTATACCTAGCCTTGTACCGCGAAGAGATCTGCGACCGGAGTAACATGGTGGAAGAAGACGGCACCCCAATAACGATCAAGGAGCGCACTATGCGCTTCTTAGAGAATGCTGCAGAATCGAGTATGAAGTATATAACACCTACGTTAGTGACGAAGATGGAGCTTCACGCTCGCGATGCGGTGAACGCGGCCGAGGAGATGAAAGACATGGTCTACAGGAAGTAGCTCACTGAGTCGTCTCGTTTTGAATGAGATTATACTCTAATTCACTGGTAATTTTGATCCCGTAATCAGATATTTGTAATAGTCAAAAACATATTGTTCGCTTTGCTTGAAATTATTCTCTGTTTGGACGGGCAAAGATGTAGTAGGTGTACGCGAGACTTCTAGCTAAGTCGCTGGCGCTGGAGACATCGATGGCGTTTACCAGCAGGAATGACCAAGAGGGCCAGCAGCAGCAGTAGCATCCCGAGGACCGCTGTCGATATCGCCTCCGATGCCTCTAATCAATGAGCTATTGGAAGACTTGGATAAAGTACTGTGGTACTGTTCTCTAGATATGGCAAGTGGGTTTTGGATGGTGACTATGACGGATCGAGCTCGCGCAATATCCGCATTCATCACACCATTTGGACTGTTCAAATGGAGCCGGATGCCGTTTGGATTGAAGAATGCACCCCAGATCTATCAACGCCTGATCGATAATGCCCTCTACGAAATTACCCGAATACCGGAGCTCGAAGGGGATAGATCCGGGGAAGGTCATACGGAAGTGGATCCATTTGAAGCAGGAGAGCCAGGTAATCTGGGAGCTCCATCCGTGTTAGGACGCAGATCCTATATTGACGACATTCTAATCTGGGTGGAATCGTGGGATCAGCTGTGCGAGAGAGTGACATCCCTACTGGAGGCGAACGAATATTGCAGAATGTTGATCGTAAAATACGAGCGTGGCAGCGTGGTAATGTCGCGTTTGGTGGCATTGACGTTTTGCCGTGCGTAATACTTCACCCCTACCCCTAGAAATTTCCGTCCAATCAGGATACTTTATTATGTGCCATGGCATGGCACTAGGAGCGACCCTGAGACTGCATTGCCACCAAGTGTCATAGAAATGAATGAAACTGGTCACCCAGTCAGCTCTGACCAGTGTAATTTTTTTGGAATTTTCTAATTATGACCAATCATATCAGACATGTAAGATTTGCTCCGTTGGATTAGCATTAAGATGGGCCAAAGTAGTACATCTAGTTATTCTGTACTCAATATTCGTTTGTGTTGCTTGATGGCAGACTATTTAGTGCAAATGCGTTTTTAATCTGCTTTCGCCAGTAGCAATTTGTTTTTATATTTCATTGGAATCTATTAAAGCTTAAAATTGCTGTGCTGCCTAACGTTAGAAAATAAAAAGAAGAAAAATGCAGTTTGTAAGCTAGACTGTTGTTTTTATCCAATGACCAGCTTCCAACCTATACGGAACCCCTCGTCAGCTACACAATGACCTCTGCCGACTTCACTCTCCTGGATGACTCCGCTATGGACAACGACGTTTCCATCGTAGCCACAGTCGGCAGTGCTTCTCCTTCAGCCTCCCAGAACGCGCGGACTCTTTCTCTGCCGCCGATAAACGGCCATCCTCGTCGACCCGTGAGCCGAAGCCGATCTCCTTCCGAAATTACGACAAGCTACCAGCCCCTAGACTGGGAATCAGAGGATGGTGTTCGCTTCGACGGCTCCCGATTGCGTCGCACCGTCAGCGATAACGTGACCAATGCCAGTGACTTTGGTATCGTGAACAACGGATCTCGGAAAGTTTCGGGGTTACGGCCGCCTCGAAACCAAAGACACTCGAGTTCTCTTAATTACCACGGTAAGCGAGCCGGGAGTAATGAGAACCCCACCCGTAAGGTGACCACGCCCATGCCACGGCTGCTGCATGGGAAGAATATTCTTCACATGGTGGCTATTGGGTCCATCGAGTCGATCGCTAGAGACTCGAATTCCGTGGATTGGTCGACCAGTCTCGGGCCCGTGAATGAAGTTGAGGACGTGATACTGATGGACCCGCACTATGATCTTACATCAGCCAGGATGAATAAGTTATTCTCGCTGTTCAACCCTGGAGGTAAGAAGATTTAAGCTGAAGGGTAGAGTTTATCTTTTTTCTAATCTATTTTTTTTAAAGAGGATGGCATGGTGTCGTACGAAGGTTTTCGATGTGGGTTGGAGGCCATGGGTATCGCCTGTGGTGACGACGAGCAGTTCCAAGCGTTTATTTGCAAGGTAGATGATGATAAAAGCGGTGGTATTACGTACGAGGAGTTCTTGTTCGCTATCCAGGAGATCAAACTCGCCCAACTTTTCAACGAGGAATTCCTGCGCAATATGCCGCCGGAATACACTCACATGAAGCGCAGACGAGTGGGGAATGCGCGACTGGGGTCGATCGAGTACTCTCCGGACCGTATTCGCAGCGTGTACCCCATCGACCAAGTGCAGAGATTCATCTACTCTACCAAGCCAGGGTGGGCGTCAGTGCGCTGGATCAACGTGGAAGGCATCGATCCTCTACTCATGAGACGGTTATCGGTACGATATCGTCTCCACCCGTTGGCTATTGAAGACACTCTGGATGCAGACGTAGAGAGACCGAAGTACGAAGAATACGACGAACATTCGTCGCTTATCGTACAGACAGTCCACGCCCGAGACTTGGCTATGGTCAAGGACTACCAGAGCATGTACCGTGCCTCACTTTATGTGCAGGACGACGATATTTCCCCCTTCGAGAGTATGACGAAGAAGGAGCTGGAGGATCGCTTGGAGCAACTTAACATCGGATGTGTCATGACGGCACCACAGCAACTTAGTCTGTACATTATGGAGGACGTTCTGATCAGTGTTGAAGAAAGGTCCAGTACACTCTGGGCCATGCTGAAGCAGCGATTGGATACTTCGTACTCCAAGGTGCGGCAACACGGCACAGCGTTCCTGGTGTACACAGTTGTGGACATTTGTGTGGACGAGTTGACGCCGATCACGCACACTTTTGGCTCGAAGTTGCTCATGCTCGAGCGCCTGCTCAGTCTCGATCCTCGACACTTCGACGTCGGTCGACTAGCGAGTTGTACGAAGCAGATTAAGGGGCTCCAAGTGCTCTGTAAGCCCATGAGCGAGCTCATCATCCAGCTGTCGGAGTTCGACGAGTTCGAGGGAGAGACGCTGCGGTATCTGCGTGACGTGCTGGACCACGTCACCACAATCGAGGAAGACTGCGATCGCCATCTGGATCGATGTCGCAGCCTCATGGAAGATTTCCACAACACGCGAGCCGCGCAACAGAATGACG